TTTATTTGTTAGTCTTTTTTTCAAATAATATTTACTAATTATTTTGTTGGTTTGTTAATTGCTTTTTTTAAATTAGTTGGTTATAGTTTATTAAGTTAACTATACATTCTTTAATTTAATTATTTGCATTTTTTAAGGTGAAACTTCAATTTTTTTAAGGTTTATTTTGTGTTGAGCATTAATATTTTCCTTTATTTTGTGTTGAGCATTAATATTTTCCATTATTTTGTGTTGAGCATTAATTTTTTCCATTATTTTGTGTTGAGCATTAATATTTTCCATTATTTTGTGTTGAGCATTAATATTTTCCATTATTTTGTGTTGAGCGTTAATATTTTCCATTATTTTGTGTTGAGCATTAATATTTTCCGTTATTTTGTGTTGAGCATTAATATTTTCCATTATTTTGTGTTGAGCATTAATATTTTCCTTTCGCAAAATTAAAAGTTGTTTTAAAAAATCTTAATAAGAGTTTAAAGTTTCAACAACAAACGAATTTTAATAGAATGTAAAATTTTCTTTTTTTTAACATTACATTAATGGTTATACTAGTGAACCATGGCTCTAAAGCATCTTCTGCCTTTATTAATCTTCAACAATATCTAAACTTTATACCCTACATTATATCTATATATTTTATATCTATAAACTTTATACCCTATCTATAAATTTTATACCCTATATTATATCTATATATTTTCAAATTATAATAAGTTTATAACAAGTTAAAGTTTATATTAAATTTAAAGTTAAGCAATAGTATATTTTTCATTTCTGAAATAAAACCTAAACCCCTATTTTTTATTATATTTAAATGAAAACTTTTAAATAAAGAAAAATTTATGACATATTCTCATAAATATGGTGGTAGCGTAGTGGTAGAGTACTTGCCTCATAAGCAATATGGTCAGAGTTCTATCCCCACCATGTCCCTGGTAGTACCTTGCTCAACTTGTTTCTCAGCCCCGCGACCCTGTTTGTCAAACTTCACACACAGAACATATAATGACCTAGTACATAATAATTGATCTTTTTTTATTCCCTAATAAGAAATATGCAGTTAATGTAACTTGAGGTTCTATAAAAGTAATTATGTATTTTCTGTTCAATGTTTTCTCCAGTATTTTTTTTATAAAGTGTCAGGTTTTTTATAAACTGTCAGGTTTTTTATAAAGTGTCAGGTCAGCTTTTCCTGCTACTGGTAACATGTAACCCAGTACAACCTGCTTCATGTCCTGCTGCCTTGTAGGATACGCTTTTTTAGGCAAAGGCTAGGAGAAGTTAACTCCGAATTAAAACACCCCCTGCCTTGGGGCTCTTGGTTGAGTAAAGGCTAGAGATGGTGTCTCGATAAAAATACTCATCTTGGGCAGATGTTACATGCATCCAGCTGCTGTCTTGTAGAAGGCCTCCTAGGCAAAGACTTAAGGGGTAAACAGTTTCTATCTGTTGACCAGCCTCGCACCCCTTCCTCATCTATTAGGCTGGCGAAGATGTATTTTTAATACATTGTTTCCAGTTTAGGATGTTGAACGCTGGATCTTCTTGACTCAATGCGTGGGTATTGCTTGTGTCTCTATTTTTATGACTGGGCAACTCATTCTATTATCTCCTAATGAGGGTACAGCTCTAAAACTCAGTTTTATGGTTCTGAGGCCGGCTGGTAGTCAGGTTTCCCGAACTCTGTGGTAGCTCTCAGAGAGGCTGATTCCATCAACAGCCGAAAAATATCAGAGTACTAACAGTGCCATGTTGCGCATGGATGGTGTCCCTGTTTGTACTTTTGGTGTGCATTGCAGAGGCCACATTTGGAGCCCTTTGTTACGGCTTAGGGTTTATTAATAGTAATGAGGCTATTGCTTAGTTGTTAAATAGTGTACTGAGTACTATCTATACTTGAGTCAAGTTCTTTATAAATTTAAAATGACTAAAGTACCTAAAACTAAAAAACACAAAAAACCATCGTCATCACCTATATATATATATATATATATATATATATATATATCATATCATATATATATAACCTATCATTTACTAATATTCGTGGTCTTCGAAGTAACTTTTCTTCTGTTGAGTCTTATCTCTTGCAAAGTTTACCAGACCTACTTGCTCTTTGTGAGACTAATTTGAGTTCGGCTGTCCCATCTTGTGATCTTAGTGTTGATGGTTATCTTCCTTTAATTCGTAAAGACTCCAATAATCACATGCTTGGCCTGGGCATCTATATTCGTAAGAACTCACCCATTTGTCGTGAAACTAGGTTTGAATCTACAGACTATTCATTTATGTGCTTTCGTTTAGCACAACTTCACTCTATCGCCTTTCTCTTTGTTCTATATCGCTCTCCTTCATCCCAAGATTGCACTATTTTTGATGTTATTTCTGATCAAATTGACCGAGCCCTCTCTTTTTATCCATCGGCCAATATCGTCGTTGTTGGTGACTTTAATGCCCATCACACCGATTGGCTTGGCTCTAGTGTCAGTGACTCTGCTGGCGTTAAGGCCCTCAACTTTTGCCTTTCTCAATCTCTAACTCAAATAGTCAACTTTCCAACTCGTTTTCCAGACAACCCTAATCATTTACCTTCTCTACTCGACTTATGTCTTGTTTTGGATCCTAGTCAGTGCTCAATTTCTCAACATTCACCCTTAGGTACTTCTGATCACGGTTTGATCTCTCTAAAACTATTATCAAATTCTTCTACTTCATCAGAATCCCCCTATCATCGTACCACATACAACTACCTTAAAGCTGACTGGGACTCTTTCCGTGATTTTCTTCGTGATGGCCCTTGGGTAGAAATCTTTCGTCTTCCTGCTGACAAATGTGCTTCTTACATAACTTCGTGGATTCAGGCTGGCATGGAATCTTTTATTCCCTCTCGACGATTCCAGGTCAAGCCTCACTCTTCTCCTTGGTTTTCCTCACATTGCGCTGCAGCAATTTCTAATCGAAACCGTTACTTCCATATCTATCAGCAAAACAATTCTCCAGAAAACAGACATCTGTTCACTATCGCCAGAAACCATTGTAAAAAGGTTTTGTCTGACGCCAAAGCTCGCTATTCCCAGGTCATTAAATCTCGTATCTCATCACAAAAATTAGGCTCTCGAGACTTCTGGAGAATCTTTAACAGTATCAATAAAAAGGGCAAATCTGTTATTCCTTCTCTCTTGTATGGTTCAGACTTTGTCACCTCACCTAAAGACAAAGCTGAATTGTTTGCTAAGAACTTTTCATCAATATCATCTCTTTATTCCACTAGTTGCGTTTTACCTGACATAGCCATCAAACAGGTTGATCCCTTGCTTGACATTCGCATCACTTCAGCTTCTGTATCTAAAGTAATTTCCTGCTTAGAGTCTTCAACAGCTTGTGGCCCTGACAACATTCCTGTTGTAGTCTTGCAGAGGTGTTCTCCGGAGCTTTCATCCATTCTTTCTAAACTATTTAACAAGTGCTTATCAGAGTCTTGTTTTCCATCATGCTGGAAAGCAGCATCTGTTATCCCTATTTTCAAAAATTCCGGAGCGCGATCTGATTCATCTAACTACCGTCCCATTAGTCTTCTTCCTGTCATAAGCAAGGTTTTTGAATCTTTAATCAACAAACACTTAATCTCTCATCTTGAATCAAATAACTTACTTTCTGATCATCAATATGGATTTCGGTCTTCTCGTTCTACAGCTGATGTGCTAACAGTAATAACCGATAGGTTTTACCGTGCATTAGATAGAGGTGGAGAGGTTAAGGCTATCGCACTTGACATTTCTAAAGCTTTTGATAAAGTTTGGCATGCTGGTCTTCTCCATAAGCTTTCTTCTTATGGTGTAGCTGGTAACGTCTTTAAAATTATTGAGTCCTTTCTTTCCAATCGTAGTATAAAAGTTGTCCTCGATGGACAACACTCTTCTTCACATCCTGTAACTTCAGGGGTTCCTCAAGGTTCAATCATTGGCCCTATACTCTTTTTAATTTACATTAACAATCTTCCAGATATTCTCACATCTAAGGTGGCATTATTCGCTGACGACACTACCATTTACTCTTGTCATGATAAGAAGCCTACACTCTCTGATTGCTTGGAGGGGGTATCTGAGCTTGAAAAGGATCTCACTTCTGCTACAGCATGGGGCTCACAGTGGCTGGTGAACTTTAATTCAGATAAAACTCAATTTTATTCGGCCAATTGTTATCGTAATAATTTAGATCTTCCTATATTTATGAATGGTAATGTACTAGATGAGTCATCTACCATTCATCTTCTAGGATTAACTCTTACTTCTGATCTTTCTTTTAAACCGTATATCAAATCCATTGCAAAATTAGCATCTGCTAAGGTTGCATCTCTTTATCGAGCTCGACACTTTCTTACTCCAGATTCTATTCTCTATCTCTATAAATCTCAAATCCGTCCCTGTATGGAATACTGTTGCCACATCTGGGGCGGATCTTCTAATGATGCTCTTTCTCTTTTAGACAAGGTGCAAAAACGAATTGTAAACATAGTTGGACCTGCTCTGGCAGCCAATCTCCAACCTTTGTCACATCGTCGTAATGTTGCTTCTCTTTCTCTTTTCTACAAATACTATAATGGGCACTGCTCTAAAGAGCTAGCGTCCCTTGTGCCATCTACTAAAATTCATTCTCGTGTTACTCGCCATTCAATTAAGTCTCATCCTTTTTCTGTGACTGTTCCTAAGTGCTTCAAAAACTCTTATTCTTCTAGTTTTTTTCCTCGAACATCAGTTCTTTGGAATTCGCTTCCTTCATCTTGCTTTCCTGATTCATATAATTTGCAATCTTTTAAGTCATCAGTCAATCGTTATCTTGCTCTACAGATTTAGTCTTTTCTCTTCCAGTAACTTCCAACTCTTATAGTGGTTGCTTGCAGCCTTGTTGGAAGTGAAGATGTTAAAAAAAAAAAAAAAAAAAAAAAAACTTAAATTTCATTTGCATTTTTTTGTTACATGTTTTGCAAATTATATTTGTAGAAAATCAACAACCTGATTTAAATGGCAGTAAACAAGAATCAACTGTAGTTGATAAAAAAAGTATCCAAGGTAAAAAACGCTTCAAAGCAATTTTGCTTCCTTTTTACCTATTTTTTTTATTTTTGAAAAGAGTTCTTGTTTAAAACTTTTTTAAATAATTTTTCTCAAGTATTTTTTGTCAGATTTTGTCTCCTTTATTATTTCAATCAAACTATTTCTAATTCAATTATATTACATATTTTTAAGTTATTTTTTAAATGATATGTTCAGAAAAACAACCACCTATTTCAAATAGCGATGGTCAGAAGTCAACTGTAGAAGATAAGATAAGTATTCAAGGTAAAAAAAATCTAAATCTTTTGTTGTTCTTTCTCTTTATCTATTTGCTTATTTTTTAAAGAGTTTTAACATACATAAGTTATGTATATAATATCTATAAAAGTGTTTACTTAAAAAAAAATAAAAAATAAAAAGTGGTAGGAATCGAAACAAAGCTCTTTGCCTCAGAAACTTGTCAAGTTATCCTGCTACTGGTAACATGTAACCTGTACAATATGCTTCCTAAACTGCTGCCTTGCAGGATATGCTTTTTAAGCAAAGTCTAGAAGTAGCCAATTCTGACTTAAAACATCCTCGTCCTTGGGGCTCTTGGTTAACTTAAGGCTAGAGATGGTTTCTCAATAACAATACTCATCTTGGGCAAAACTGTCTTGTAGAAGGGTTTCTAGGCATAGAATTAAAGGGTTAACAGATTCTAATTGTTGACCAGTCTTGCACCCTTTTTTAATCTATTAGGCTGGTCTAAATGTACTTATAATTTGAGTTTAGAATGATGGTTCTGCTTGACTTAATGCATGGGTTTTGCTTGTGTCTCTGTTTTTTTGATTAGGCAACTAATTTTATTATCTCCCAATCAAGTAGGGTACAGCTCTAAAAGTCAGTTTTTATGGTTCTGAGACTGGCTGGTTGTCAGGTTTCCCGAACTCTATTGTAGCTTGCAGCTGATTCCTTCAACAGCTGTAAAATAGAGTAGAATCAGCTGTAAAATCAGAGTACTAAAAGTGTCATGTTGCGCATTGATGATGTCTCTGTTTGTACTTTTAGTGTGCATTGTTGGTTAATAGTAATGAGGCTTTTTCTTGGACTATTAAAAAGGGTTCTGAGTACTATCTGTTTTTTTCTGTTGAGTTCTCTTGCAAGTTCACCAGACCAACATGCTCTTTGTGAGACTAATTTGAGTTCAGATGTCTCAACTTGTGATCTTAGTGTTGATGGTTATCTTCCTTTAATTCATATAAATTTAGTTCATAAAAAGACTCCAATAATCACATGCTTGGCCTGGGCATCTATATTCGTAAATTATCATCTATTTTTTGAGTAAACTAGGTTTGAATCTACAGACTGTTTTTTTATGTGCTTTCGTTAGGCCTTATTTTACCCTATTGCCTTTCTCTTTGTTTTATATTGAATTCATTCAATCACAATTCTTAGGTCACAAAATCTCGTGTTTTATCTCAAAAAATTAGGCACTTGTTATCTTTAATAGTATCTATAGTGAGGAATAGTCTGTTATTCCACTTCTCTTGTATGGCTAAGATTTTGCCACCTCATGTAAAGATAAAGCTGAATTGTTTGCTAAGAACTTATGTATATCAATATATTCTCTTGATTTTGATCTTAAAGTAATTATGTATTTTCTGTTTAATTTTTTATTACATATTTTCGTAAATTATATATTTAGAAAATCAACAACCTGATTTAAATGGCAGTGAACAGGAATCAACTGTAGTTGATAAAAAAGTTATCCAAGGTAAAAAACACTTTAAAGCTATTTCGCTTCCTTTTATTTTATTTTTTTATTCTTTTTATTTTTTCTATTTTTGAAGTTTTGTTTAAAATTTTTTTAAATAAATTTTCTCAAGTATTTTTTGTCAGAAATTGTCTCCTTTATTATTTCAGTCAAACCATTTCTAATTCCATTATATTACATATTTTTAAAGTTATTTTTTAATATGTTCAGATAAACAACAACCTATTTCAAATAGCGATAGCCAGAAATCAACTGTAGAAGATAAAATAAGTATTCAAGGTTAAAACAGTTTTATACCTTTTTTGTTCTTTTTTTTTATCTGTTTTGCTTATTTTTAAAAGAGTTTTAACATACATAAGTTATGTATATAATATCTATTAAACTTCAAAAATGTTTAATTTTAAAAATAAAAAGTTTTTAAAAAGGTGTAAGTGGTAGGATTTGAGCCTTGGCGCATTGCATCAGAAACTTGGCAAGCTAACTACTTGGCCACACAGGCCTATTGTCTGAAGTAGAGTTGTTGCGAATAATAATTTTGTTAAATACTAAATCCTGAATATTCAGCATGACTTTCCGCTGAATAGCCAAATATTCAACTACTAAATATTCAGTAACGCTTATTAAATTTCCTGGGTGATAGTTTCCAACCTGCATTAGTAAAGTGAATACTAATAGTAAAAACTAAAATAAAAATAAACACGAATAAGTAATCACGCTACAAGTAATTATGCGTATTTGTTTCATTTGCAAGTTTAAGCATATTGTTTGTTGACTATTTGTTACATCAAATTTTGTTCCTTATAGGTTGTATTTCTTACTACCTGTTACTTAAGATATATACATAATAAGTGTAATTCTATATTGAAAGCTTTAGAGTATTTAGTGGCAATTGCATTTTATGTGGTTAGTATAAGTTGTTAATGTATTTATAATATAAATGTCACTAGAATTTGTAAATAAACGAATTGAATATACTAAATTCGATTTATCTATTTACAAATTTGATAATTTATTTTGAATTACAGATCTCAAATATTGTTATTAAAAACCATATAAATACATTTACAATTGATTATCTTTTAAACTATTTAAATCAATTTAGTTAACATAAAAGACTTGCAAAAAACTACTATAATTAACAAAAGTTGTATTATTTAAAATTTTTGTTTGCAAAAAGTTTTTAAAATAGCAATTTTTAATAAAAAGTCACCTATTTGGAAATATGAAATTAGCAGGGAAGATAATAAACTGGCAGTTTGTTTGCTGTGTAAAAGCAAAAACTCACGTGATGGAGAAGGAAAGGAAGTAAAACTATTACGCATATTATAACTAATTATGTGTTTTAACCAGTGCTGGGTAAAATACTTTATAAAAGTTTTTAAAATACAAATACAAATACTAAAAAAAAAAAAAATTTAATAAAAATACAAATACTTTAAAAGTATTTAAATTAAAAATACTTTTAAAAAAGTTTTTTAAATACTACATACAAAATACTTTAATACATATTTTGTATGTAGTATTTTAAATACTACATACAAAATACTTTTCAAACTTAAAAAATTAAAACTAAAAAATTTGCTATTTTTAACATTTATTTTTAAGCACTTTCATTGCTCTAAAGTAGTTATTAGTCATTTATACTACATTTATATTTAAACATCATTTATTCAGTCATTCACCTTTGTTTTTAGCAGCAGTAGTTGTTCAAACATTATATTACTTAGGTATTTGTATTTGTCCCGCTGTGCTAAATAGCCGTTTAACTGGAGCCGAAGATGATACAGATTGAATTTGACAGTGACCGAGTAGTCTTATACTTATTCAGAGCATTCAAACTTGTATCTTTATCACATGCATACTTGCTGAGCGCCATTTGCTGTACCAGCATTTGGAGTGTTGTCATTATATACAACAAAATTTTCAATTGTGCTGTCAGTGTTCACATTAAGATTGGTTGCTGTCAATGGTTCACAGGCAGCTGTTATGGCATTTTAAATATTTCTCTGCAGATAGCATGTTTATTTGTTGGCATCCATAACTTGAACAGTGGGTGCGAAAGTGCTGCAACAATCCTGTATGAACTACTCACACCAAATCTCAATTCCTTTTCAAAACGAATTTTCATGCTTGCTAACAATGCCGCAGCAAATAATTTAGCATATTTTAACTGGCAACTTTGAAACGCTTTCAATTTTAATTTACAGTGAACCAAAATAGGCATTTTTATAGCAGTTTATTGGAGTTTAGCTCATCAGTTACTTAGTGGACCATTAGTCGCAACCCCTATAAATGGCAAGCCACTAATTTTTCCAACATTTTAATGTTGGTTAATTATCAGCAAGCCACTTTTGGCAGCCGCCACTATTGGTCCACTAAGTAACCGATGGGCATAACTACAGCAGTTTGCTTAAAATGCCTATATAGGTCTACTGAAGTTTCGCTATAGCATGTTTGCTGTTTAATTGCCAATAGATTCAGTGAATGGCTGATAGATGTTTCATGAGATGGCAAAGAAATACTCTTGGCTATGGACTTATCACCATCATCATCATTATGTTCTGGTGAAACTAAAAAATATCTCCAATATTATTTCCAGCAAACATGATATAGAGGGTTTTCAATGGACCTATGTAGGCGTTTTGAGCGGACTGCTGTCATTTTGCTCATTGGTAACTTAATGGGCCATTGGTGGTAGTTGCTAAAAGTGGCTAGCTGATGACAAGCTACTATTAAAATGTCAGAATATAATTGCCTTGCCATTTTTAGCATTTTAGTTGCCATTAATGGTCCATTAAGCAACCAATGAGCAAAACTCCAATGAACCGCTAAAAAATGTCTATATAGGTCCACTGCAAATTCACTAAAACAATGTTTGCTGGGATTACATTAATTTCATCCACATTAACTTCACTCTCATTAATTCATCCTCTGTTAATCTCCTTGTTAAATTAGTTAAAATTGTTGATTCCTGCGAAATAATTTGATAATTACCCTAATGAAATAAAGGTAGATAAGTAAGAAATTATGACAAAAGTATTTCAAATACAAATTCAAAGAAAGTAATTAAATACTTAGTATTTCAAATACTCCCAACACTGGTTTTAACAAACAAATTATTTACTCTAGTACTTTTTTTACTCACAGCAATTTTTACTCACAGCAATATTTGCACAATAAATAACTAAGTTAATCTAGGTTTAAGTATTCTTTTTTGTTTCCAGCTTCTCTGAAAAATTACCTACACAAGCATTCTGAGCAGTACGCAAAGTTAAATAGAGCTTCCCTGAAAGAGAGAGAGCAAAAATAAGGGTTCTCTTATTTATACTGACTCATCGTTACCATCAGTAACATGCATGTTAAAAAAGAAATAGTTAACTCTGAAGGAGCCAGCTGAAAGGAAATTGTTGTGTTAGGATATTATAGATCCGAAATCAATAAAATATATTCACTTAATTGGACAAATGATTGCCTTAGACAACAAACTGTCATCGCTAGTTGAATGAGTTGGCTTCTACATGCTTATGGAAAAGGCAGTATTGCAATACAAAATACCTTGTCGGACCTACATGACTGAGAAAATTATCCCTGATGTGTTTAATAGATTTTTCTCTAAAATTGAAGCTATTATTTCACAAGCAACAGCAGTATCCGCAATATCTGACATGTGAACATGTCAACATAGCAACCAAAGTTTTTAAGTTTGACACAACACAGCAGGTACCAGAAATGGAAAGTCAAGTAAAGCCTAAAAAATACCTAAAAATAAAAATACAATAGGTAATACCTAAAAAAGAAAATTTAAAAAAAGAAAAAAAATTACAATTTTTAAATACAAAATTATTATTTGCATTTTATTGTTAGCAGAATTAGGATAATAACACTGGCCAACAAAGATTTTGCGGCAAAACATTTGGGGGTCATTTTATAGGTAACTTGTTGCCCTGATTCCGAATATGACCTCCGTTTTCCTAGATTGGCTCTAGTTTTTGAGATACAGGGTGGTCACGAAAGTACATTAATAGCAACAATTTATGTTAGGTTGTAGCGTAATTCACAAAAAAAACACTAGATATATATATCAAATTGTTTATGGGGAAGTACATACAATGCTAATAGATCAAAACATTCAAATCAGTACAATGAAATCACAATTAATGCATTAAAAATCGGTGTCTGTATGATTGTCTTTTGTGTGGAGAATGTGGACAATCACGTTGAAGGCTCCAACAATAGTCAGCCATCATGTGTGTATCCAATCTTCCTTGGTATCTTTCTTCCATTACCTTGATATCTTGATGGAACCTCTCCCCTTGTTCCTCACTATAACTTCCTAGATTATCGGGAAACCGATCTAAGTGACTATGTAGAGAGTGAACTTTTATGCTCATATTAGCTTTCAACGTTTTGAAGTCTGAAAGCATTTTCTGTACGATTTCTTCATAGTTGTGAGATTTATGGTTGCCCAAAAAGTTATGAACAACCAAGACAAAACTTTTCCAGGCAGATGCTTCAATATCTGTCATTGTATATAGGAACTGCTCATCCTTGATGATTTGGCGAATTTGAGGGCCGCTAAAGATTCCAGCTTTGATTTTCTCCATACTCAAGCCTGGAAAAAATCTGCAAATATATTTGAAACATTGACCATCTTTGTCTAGGGCTCTTACAAATTGCTTCATCAGTCCTAGTTTGATGTGGAGTGGTGGGAAAATAATTTTTCCCCTGTCTACCAGTGGTTCGTTAATGATATTTGATGCACCTACAGTCATATTTTCCCTAGCAGGCCATACCACCTTTTTCCAGTGGTCTTCTTTAGCCCTACTATCCCACAAACATATGAAGCAAGGGTACTTAGTATATCCACTTTGCTGCCCTAGTAAGAAGTTTACCGTCTTTAAATCAACACATATAGACCACTGGTGCTCATTGTATCTAAGCTTCTGCAACATCATTCTTATATTTTCATATTCCTCTTTCAGTTTTGTTGAGTGAAGTATTGGGATGGATGCATAACTATTGCTATTGTGCAATAAAACACACTTCAAACTTCTCATCGAACTATCTATAAACAATCGCCAATCTTCTGGTCGGTATTCAGGTAACCCCATTTGGAGGAGGAGTCCAAGGATGTTCCTACAGTATACTATTTTTTCTTCTTAAATGAAATATGGAAGAAGTGCTGCCTCTCTTGTCCGAAAAAAAGTTATTTTACATTCGGCCTTCAAACTGTTCTTTTCACTTAGTCTAGATGCTAAAAGCTCAGAATCTTGCTTGGA